AATATATATATATATATATATATATGCATATAGATACGCACTCATACATCATTGATGTCAACACTCATAAACACTTACAGGGACGAGGTCTTTAATGACATGCATGTGCGGCAATGGATAGACTTTAGTGGTTTTGCCCACATTTTCATTGATCTTGCTGTAAATGATAGAAAGACATTTATATGACTGTTTAGTGAATTTTGTCGATGGTTAACGATGTGCTGCTCTAACTAACACATATCTGCATGCATCTAAAAAGCGATAAATGTCAACCCAATATTTTTTAGAAAGAATATAGCAAACAAAAACCTGAAACAGGCATCAGTTATCAGGAATGAATGACTGTCTGACATTTACCCATCATAAAAAAACTAGCTATGTTTACTGAAATAACCACACGATTGAAAGAATCTGCAACTGACTGTACGTTTTAAGCCACGGTTATGTATGCATGGTTACTCCATGAACCCAGATTAAAGTGTTGTATGACCTTCAACAGCCAAGCTAAACTGTATAATTATTAGTGTTTGAGATCGGTCCAAATTTTATGATCGATCATCGGTTTTACAAAACGATCGATGATCGATTAATCATCGATCATTTTAGATTGCGGCGACGACGCAGTGACGCCGCATCATCGTCGAAACAACTGGTGTATTGCGAAGGAATATTGACATTATTGTATGTGTAGCAAGTATTTAATGGTAAGTAAATTAAGGATACTGTTAGGGTTACAGACGGGTAACACTCTAAAGGGCATTGCAACATAACTGCTCCTCAAATTCAAGAAAAAAAAGAAAGAAAAAAAAACAGTTCGAGTTGTACTCGGTCGTCCGATTTTCTACTCGATTAATAAACTCGGCAGCCCAAACGAGTAATGATCGACGAACTCGATTAATCGGAACACCACTAATAATTATATGACTCAACCTAGTAAGTTAAGAATGTATTTTCTGGTGGGATGAATGCATAAAACATAAGTAACTTCCACAGAAATTATATTCAACAATTTACAGCAAGCAAAGTTTCCCAATACAGTAGAAATAAATCAAAGTTCAGTCACTTGGTTATTAGTTTATATGATTAGTCTAATTGGTTTTAACTGTAACACAGGTAATCTCGAATAACTTTTATAAACACACCAGATGCATGCCAGAGTGTTTCCACCATCAATGTTCATCGAGCACGACCCACAGATTCCCTCACGACACGATTTCCGGAAGGTCAAGGTCGGGTCAACTTCATTCTTGATCTTAACAAGGGCATCCAACAGCATTGGACCACAGTTGTTTAGGTCTACCTCATACTCCTGCATCTTTGGTTTCATGCCAGGGCTTTCCGGGTCCTATATCAACAAACCAAACTAAATAGCAGCAGATTCGATTGTACTTAAATTAAGACACAATTTGTACACAGCCTGTCTTATCAATAACAACTGATACACAGTAGCAAGGTAGCAATTATTACTTATTACTCGTTTCAAAATACATTTCAGTTGTATCACAGATGACCTGTAGCATTTACAGCCAGCCTCTTCATTGCAGCCAATGTCCAGTCCAGTAACTACTGACTGTCCATCTAAGTACAACTTACCCATCTGTAAATTGAGAATTTCTTTAATCTTGGTTTCTCTTGAACAGCGGCAGCAGCAGTGGCTAGACGTATCTAAGGTAAACAAGAGGCAACGTAAGAAATTTATACAGGAACCAACCTATATGTATATATTGTAAGAGATCTTATATTCATGTTTTTTCACAAAGAAAATGCTTGGCAGATTAACTTATTTTGTTTTAATATGTTCTACTGACTTCTTAATTGCATTGTTTACACGGTGTTTGTAAAAAACTTGTAATATCTATAATGACCTATCAGTGTTCAGCATTATCCTGCAACTGTGAGCACTGAAAATTAGGTCTATAAATATTTTTCTATGTTGCAAATGTTAAAGTAATAAGAAGCTACTGAAATGCACAAACAGTCTGTGCAAGAAAATGCTGTTTCGATTCGACGCTATTATTGTATTAAACCAGCACCAACCACTGGACCAGTTTATCGTTGCGCAGAAGATCCTGAAATTGTTTCAAATTCTTAATTCATGTTAAGTCTGCTTTAGAGCTTTCAATGTATTACTGTGTTTTGCTAAGTATTTGGTGGTGATTATCACATTCCCAAAATAGACCAATGCCGGCAAACTTAATGACCTTCCCAATGGAACAGGTACTACTTACTAGAGCTGAAAGGGTCATTGTCGTATCAGGTACTACATATATATGTACCCGAGGTACATACATGTATACACAAAGTGTACCAGACTTGTACTACAGAAGTGTACCATAACCCTAAACATCCCTCATATAAAAATATGAACATAATAATTAATACTAAACAACCTAAAACTACCTCGGGTACATATATGTAGTACCACTACCTGATAGTGATACGACAACGACCCTTCATGCCTTACTAGAGCTGAGAGGGTCTATGTCCCCCGGGGTACTGCCGGAACGTATCCTGGGTACGGTCCGGTATACCGGAACGTACCCTGGTACTATCTAATATGCCGTACCGTACCTCGCCTACTCCACTAACGAATCTAGGGAGTCGCCTACGCCTACTCCCTAACCCTACCCCTAACCCTAACCATATCAAATAGACAAATAAATACTTAATAGTTACCAGGGTACGTTC